CAGCTTTTTCTGTGTCTGTGGTACTGGAGAATCGAACCCAGGGCTTCGTGCATGCTAGGCGAGCACTCTACCACTGAGCCACCTTCCCAGCCTCCTGAGGACACAGCTCCCGCCCCATGAGCCAGAGCTGCCCAGGAAAGCTGAGATCTGTAGGATCTCAACCCAGGCAGGGGGGGGGGGGAAAGAAAAAAAATCCATGAGACTCCATCTCTAAAATAACCAGCAAGGAAGAAAAGCAGGGCTGGAGGCATGGTTCAGGCAGTAGAGCACCAAGGCCTGCCCTTGCGTTTTAAACGAAAACGATACAAGAGAGAGAAAGTGAGGGAAAGCCACCAGGTGGCAAAGCCCCAAGTTAAGATGCATTTCCCAACCTGGATGACTCAGGAAGCGAGGCAGGTGCCCGTGGCTCATGCCTTTAATCCCAGTGACTCAGGAGGAGGCCGAGATCTGGAGGATGGCGGTTCAAAGCCAGCCTCCAGGTCAGGAAAGGTCCGTGAGACTCTTAACCACCAGTCAACCGCTCAGAGAAAGTCGGCTGCGGTGCTGTGGTTCAAGTGGTAGAGTGCTAGCCTTGAGTAAAAGAAGTTCAGGGACAGTGCCCAGGCCGTGAGTTCAAGCCCCAGGACTGGCACAAAATAATAATAATACATAAAAATCAAGGTAAAATAGGATTTGGACACACTTCTGACACACAATCCGTCTTTTACCCCCTTCCACTCCCCTCCGGTTGCAAAGAATTTCCAGAAGCAATTGATCAGTTTCCCCAGAGCGTTTTATTTCTGTAACGAACAGACAAATCCGGTCATTTCTGGTTATTCACAGGGATGGGTTCACATCCTACTTTGGTTTTGGTTTGGGGGCACCAGTTTTTATTTTTTGATTTTCGATTTTTTTTCTAGAACCCAGTATAGAATTCTAGCATGTTCTACGAGGCTCCTGGCTTCCTTGGATGCAGACGGAGCCAAGGTTTTGTTTTTTTTTGGGGGGACAGGGGTCAAGTTGTCCTTTGTCTCTCTGAGATGTCCGCCATATGCATTTCCCCCTGCACCTGCCTGTAACCCCGAATTCTGTTCTTTCCAGCACCTGCGGAGTTGATGATTGAAGTGGCCTCAGTGGGTCGCATATTATAGCACCTGCGTGTAGTCCAGGCAGACATTTCTAACCTCAACATCCTATGAGTTACAACTCCCTGATCTTAGAACAGACACCTCCAGGCGGGCCCCGGTGGCTCACGCCTGTCATCCAAGCTACTCAAGGAGGCTGAGATCTGGAGGATGGCAGTTTGAGGCCAGCCGGGGGGGGGGGGAGGGGAGATAGGGAAGTCCATGAGACTCTGATCTGCAATGAATCACCATAAACCTGGAAGTGGAGCCTCGGCCTAAGCGGTAGAATGCTAGCCTTGAGCAAAAAGCAGCTCAGGGACAGGGCCCAGGCCCTGAGTTCAAGGCCCAGGACTGGCTCCATGAGTACTAATAACTGCCACATCCACAGAGTTATGGCAGCGTCAATGCAAGGCGGGACCTGAGCCGCCATCTTCCTTGACCGTATCCATTGGCCTGCCTCTTCTTCTAAACCACCTCTACCACCACCACCACCCTGAACAGCAATACACATCCATTCACCAGGGGTGAACCAGGTCTGGTGTGTGCGGACCCGAGCATCCAGCACCTTCCAGAACTCCTGGGACCTACTGTGACCCGCCTGGTGCTGGCTCAAGTCTACCCCCAGGAGTGAACCCCACCTTTGAGCCTCTCCTCCCGTGCACTCGCCCACATTCTTCCTGCGACGTGACCTCTTGCTACCTGCGCGCTCTCTGCTGCTGACAAGGTGAGATTGCCGGTTGGGACTGGTTAGTGGGGGGGGCTGTCCATCCCCCCACATCTGAGAAGCCATCCCAACTGCTGATCCAAAATAGGTTCAAAACACAACCTTGCAAATAGCTCAGGTGTGCTTGGTGGATAATACTGGTAAAGTGTTTCTGTGCAGCCGTGTGTGTGTGTGTGTGTGTGTGTGTGTGTGTGTGTGTGTGTGTGTCCAAGCTGGCTTCGAATTGGTATCCTCAGATCTCAGCCCTCGGGAGTAGCTCGGGTGGTAAGTGTGAGCTCCCTGCACTCTTCCAGAGCCCCTGGCTGAGCTGGACACTGTGGGGCAGAGTGGGATGTGAAGATGAAGGCTGGGGCCTTCGGTTGTGTTGAACACCTGCTGTCTGTCTGCTTTTGACATTCACGGATTTCTCCATCAACTACAAGCCATAATACACTGGAGATACAAAGATAGATCAATCGATGATCAATGATCGATCGATCGATAGATGGATTGATCGATCGATAGATCGATAGCTAGATAGGATAGGTAGATACATAGATATAAACAGACATATCCATAAACTAGAAGTGTAAGTCTCTTCCAGATGAATCTCTGAAGTCATAACGGCGGGATTAGAGATTACGCAATGACCTACTCTGCTAGTACCCCTCTCCCCCCCTCCCCACCCCCCCACCTGAACCCCACATTATGATCTAGAAGTTCTCATCAGTGATTTAGGAGCAAGTCTTCTCCCAACCTTGACAACACTCCAACATTCTTCCTTTTTATTATTATTATTATTACTTGTTTTGCCACTATCTATGGCCAGTAGTGCATTAACTGGTTTGGGTTTGGGTTTTTTTGGTTTTGGGGGGGGATTTTTGTTTTTTGTTTTTTGGCACCCAAATCTTCAGAATTTGAAGCAACTTCAGTCCTGAATGGAACAGAAAGAAAGAAATCTCCACTTAGTGAAGAAAATCATAGCAAAAGTCCAGGACAAAAATCCTTCAAACAAACACACAAAGGGCTGGGAAGGTGGCTCAGTGGTCGAGTGCTGGCCTAGCATGCAGGAAGCCCCAGATTTGATTCCTCAGCACCACATTCACAGAAAAAGCTGCAAGTGGCGCTGCGGTTGAAGTGGTAGCGTGCCAGCCTTGAGCAAAAGCCTCAGGGACAGCGCCCAGGCCCTGGGTTCAAGGCCCAGGACTGGCAATAAACAAACAAACAATAACAAAAAAGGGAAAATACAGATTTACTTACAATAGACAGACATGACGATGGACAGCAGATTTCTCGTTGGCAACTATAGCAGGAGATGAGGAAATGGTATGTGCACAGCGCTGAGGTGGGAAATGACCATCAACTGTAGAATTCCATGTGCAGCTGCTCAACACCCCTCACCCCGCACCCCTGCGTCCTAACGACTGCCCACCTCGCCCAAGAGCAGCCGTCCTCTTAGCTACTCGGGAAGCTGAGATCTAAGGGTCACAGTTCAAAGCCAGCCCAGGCGGACACACGCCAGACACTCTCCAAGTAGAGATGCGGCTCCAGTGGTAGGCCTTGACTGGAAAAGCTAAGTGAGGGTGAAAGCCCCGAGTTCAAGCCCCAGTGCTGGCAGAAAGAAAGAAATTAAGAAAGAAGGGAAGGAAGGAAGGAAGGAAGGAAGGAAGGAAGGAAGGAAGGAAGGAAGGAAGGAAGGAAGGAAAGGTGGGAGGAGGGGTTAATTTTGGCTAACAAGCATTCATTGCTTCTTATTAGCGCCAGCAACTGAGAAAGTAGTAATAAATAGATGTGGGCAGTCACAAAGTTGACATGAGGAGGGAAGGGGGAATCCAAGCAGTAAGCAAGAAAGTTCCAGATGACAGACCAAATAGAGAATGGTGGACTAGAGTAATAAGAGAGCCGGGCACCCGTGGCTCATGCCTGTCATCCCAGCTACTCAGGAGACTGAGAGCTGAGGATAGAGGTTCAAAGCCAGCCTGGGCAGGAAAGTCTGTGAGACTCTGATCTCCAATGAACCACCAGAAAACCAGAAATGGCGCTGTGGCTCAAGTGGTAGAGCGCTCGCCTTGAGCTGAAGAGCTGAGGGACAGCGCCCAGGCCCAGAGTTCAAGCCCCATGACCCACCAAAAAAAACCCCATAAAACCACAAGCGACACAGCACTGCGTTTTTGGGAGAAGCGTCTCTCAGGTGAGATTCAAACACCATCACGAACACTGTGAGCCCCGGCATCCCAGACAGAACTGACAACCATAGACGGAAAGGGCCACAAGACTCTGATCTTGAATGAACCAACAGAAAGATAGAAGTGTAGGGATGGCTCATGTGGTAGAGCACCAGCCTGGAGAGGAAAAGGTCTAGCAAGATTACAAGGCCCAGAGTTTAAGCCTCCGTTACAGGTGAATCACACACACACACACACACAGAGTGTGGCTATGCTGGGCAGGGAATCAAAATCAGGATGGACCAATCATGAATTCTACAGTCCTAGGATGGACCAATCATGAGCCTACTAGTCTTAGGGGTGGAACAGTCATGAGCCTAACAGTCTTGGGATGGACCAATCATGAACCTTAAAATCGTGGGATGGACTAATCTTGAGCTTTACAGTCTTGGAATGGACCAACCATGAGCTTAACAGTCTTAGGGGTGGACCAATCAGGAGAGCCTTACAGTCTTAGGGAGTAGACTAATCATGAGCTTTACAGTCTTGGACTGGACCAATCATGAGCTTTACAGTCTTAGGGGTGGGCCAATTATGAGCCTTACAGTTTTAGGGATGGACCAATCATGAGCCTTACAGTCTTGGGATGGACCAATCATGAGCTTTACAGTCCAGAGATGGACCAATCATGAGCTTAACAGTCTTAGGGGTGGACCAATCATGAGCCTGACACTCTTAGGGGTGGACCAATCATGAGCCTCACAGTCTTGGGGTTGGACCAATCATGAGCCTTACAGTCTTTGGGCTGGACCAATCATGAGCCTCACAGTCTTAGGGGCGTGTCAGTGCCCTGGTGCTCACCTCCAGGCAGCCAGCCCTGAGGTCCCCGGGTCATGGGGACAATGGGCTGCATCAGCAGGTGTCCGTTCCTGCCTCATTCTAGAAGCCAGATGAGTCCTCCAGGAGCCGATGGGCCACGAAGCGGGGCACCCCGCGGCCCGGGCCATGCATGCACTAGCAATGGCTTCGTTACTTCTTTCTGGGGGCCGGCTTGCTTCTGCGCTTCAATCTGGTTGACAAAGAGCACAGGAAAAGTCAGCACAGCGCTGAGCTGAGAGAACGTCTCCACCCTCACACAAGGTGAGGGACAGAGGGCTCTGCAGAAGTGGGGGTGCTGGGCGAACACAGGCAAACGTGGGAAAACTCAGTGTCATTCCTCAGACCGTGCAAAGTCCACACGGAGAAGGAAGGACATCCGGGCACCTGGGGCTCACGCCTGGCATCCCAGCTGCTCAGGAGGCTGAGAGCTAGAGGATCGCGGTTCGAGGCTAGGCCAGGCAGGAAAATCTGTGAGACTCTTTATCTCCAATGAACCACCAGGAAACTGGAGGTGGAGCCATAGATACCTCAAAAGTGGTAGAGCACCAGCTTTGAGAAAACGAAGCTCAGCGCCCAGGCCCTGAGTTCAAGTCTCACGACCAACACAAAATCACACCAGGAAGCAGGTACTTGATAGGAATGAGGGTTAAGGGGAAACAGTGGATGGATGAAGAAGAGAAGAAAAGAATGCAGTCAAGAATTCAATGTAGGGACTGGGCAGGTGGCTCAGTGGTAGAGCGCTCGCCTAGCATGCAAGAAGCCCTGGGTTCCATTCCTCAGTACCACAGACACAGAAAAAAGCCGGAAGTGGCGCCGTGGCTCAAGTGGTAGAACGCCAGCCTTGGGTAAAAAAGGCTCGGGGACAGTGCCCAGGCCCTGAGTTCAAGCCCCAGGACTGGCACATTTAAAGAGAGGGAGAGAGAAAGAAGCTAGTCCCGCTAAGCTAGAGCAGATGACTGGAAAGCTGGCTAGTGTGCTGCGGTCTCCACGGGCCGCCTCCTGCACGCATGCCCTCTGGCTGCGCTTCCTCTGCGAAGCCTCGAACCCTTAGGCAGAGGTAATAACTCCACTGAGGTACCCTGTGTCCAGGGAGCATCGTGATCATGGCAGTATGAGAGCATTCACACCCCGCCGGCCTGATCAGCCAGGCTCTTCCGGGGCCTGGGAGTTACAGATTACATGGTTTCTTGTCTGCCATCTTTCTTTTCCCTAGAACGGCAGAAAGAACCTTAGATATATAGGTGGTAAAGTGTGTAGAGTGACGGAATAAAGTGGTGGATGGATGATGGATGATGGGTAATGGACAAATGTGATGGGTGAGCGGGTGGATGGATGGATGGGTAGATGGATGGGTAGGTAGATGGGTGGGTGGATGGATGGATGGATGGGTGAGTGGGTGGATGAGTGGATGGATGGATGGATGGGTGGATAGATGGATAGGAGGATGGGTGGATGGGTGGATGGATGGATGAGTGGGTGGATGGATGAGTGGGTGG